GTGTTTGATTCGGAGGGATTCCATTTAGATTTATTAGTCATACATCTTTTAATTAGAAAGAAAACGTATTTGATGATTATTAAATTTAGATTGGTTAGTCATACACCTATTTATTAGAAAGAAAACGTATTTGATGATTGTTAAATTTAGATTTGTTAGTCATACATCTAATATGAAAAAGGCAAAGCCTCAAAGCGAGCTCGATGTACTTTTAACGTCAAATAGTATGGAAATGGTCGCTCATTTTTATTTCAAATGCAGTGACGAGTGCGTGTACCCGAGTGCGTGTGTCGTCACACGTACTGTGTTAAATATGGCTCCGCCTCTGTCGTTAAATGAATAACGAGTTTTAAAAACGTTGTACGTTGTACAGCGTTACGACTAAATAAAAGATATTGGTGTTCGGATTCATTTTCTTAGTTAGACCATTTTCTTTCATTCTAGATAGTTTTCACAACAAAATTCGACAAAAAAATTGTTTTTATTTATCAGATTTTTCATACAAAATGGCGCCTTCAATTTTCATTTTACATTTTCCGTTTTAAAACTGTCATTCGATATTTTATACACAGCTTCCGTTATTCTGGTTCCCTGTCCAATTATGGTTCCCATAGACGTGCGCGGGTGACCAGTCTACACATCCGTTTTCAGTCAGAATTCCTCAGTTTTTATCGTTATCTTTAAATTCGAAAAGTTGCGATGTGTCCAATTCGGTACTTCGGACGAAAGTTTTCAAAACCATCACTTAGCAGGTACTCGCGTTACCGTAAAGCTCGCTTTGCGAGCAGGCCCTTCGGGCCAGCTCGTCGAGCTCGCTATTAAATTTATTAGAAAGAAAACGTATTTGATGATTGTTACAGGCAATAAATAAGTGTTGACAGATGTGTAAACATTCAAAAAGCGATTATGAATTGGAAAACAAGTAGTTGTTGAAAGGCTGTCTTACGAACAAACGCTGGGTTGTGGGCTGGTGACTGTCATTGGATTTCATATTGCATTAGGCAGTTATTGCTCGTAGGATACTTAGATATGCCCAGATGTCATCAAGAGCCTTTTGCATGTGGAAGGCAGTGTAATATTCGGATTGTAATTGATTATAATAAATTGTAGTAAAATTTTTCTTTTTATTACTTTCGAAATTTAAGTTATTTATTAATTTCAGCCTAGCTTTTCGCGAAACAGCCCTGACAATGTCAGAACTATAACCAAAAATAAAATTGAGGTTCCACATGGGGACATTCTTTTAAAAGTAGTCCCGTCCCTGAAAAGTGTGAAATTGTAAATGTGAAATTATCAAATATAATTTTCGCGAATTTATCAGTAATCTACTCAAAAACAAAACATAAAATGCCCTCTATCAAACTTAATATTTCATGAAGTGCGAATATCTCAAGTTCCTAAAGTTACAAAAACAATATTTTTTGGAAAAATTGACAGTTTCTTAACAAAGCACGTGCAGTCAAAAACTGTCAAATTAGGTCAAATCAAGTACCGTAATGATTCCAAATTCACAATAATATTCACATTCAGCTGTGCAATCATTTTTATATACCTATGATAATCAAACTACATTGCTTAACAAAGACATTTGATTTTTTTCTATTGAGGTATGTCAAATATCGCAAGCCCATCTTTGCTACGCCCCCTCGTACAAATCAGGTAGCCTCTTGTTTCGATGCTCTTTCTATTACTAAACTAATCTGACAGATTTATCATCAACCGACATTAATGTAATGGCACTTTAAATCACTTTCTTAAGTATCATGTAATTAGAAGTATTCTCAAGGTAACTTTTACGTTCATATATATTGATGATTCAGTGATAGAAAGAGTATCAAAACACGAGGCTATCTGATTTGTACGAGGGGGCGTAGCCCCCGAGTATAAATCTTCGTACAAATCAGATTGCCGAATGTTTGATGTTATTTCTCTTTTTTTATCACAGTCAAACATAAAAACACGTTCCGTGTTGTCACAATATGAAACCCCAGAAAAAAGTTACCAATGAACGAGCATCTTAATATGATATTTCTGTCGCTTTCCGTTTCTCTGCCATCACTATAAGTAAACACCAGCAAAAATGAGCCAATCAATGGGCATGCTCTGGAGAACGGGTAACTAATACATGAAATAGAAAGAGCATCGAAACACGAGGCTATCTGATTTGTACGATGGGGGCGTAGCCCCCCCCCCCCCCCCAGTATTAATCAGATTGCCAAGTGTTTTGATGTTATTTCTCTTTTGTATCATAGTCAGACATAAAAACACGTTCCCTGTTGTCACAATATGAAACCCCGGAGAAAAGTAACCAATGAACGAGCATCTAAATATCATATTTTTGTCGCTTTCACTTTCTAGGCCGTCACAATAAGTAAACCCCAGCAAAAATTAGCCAACCAATGGGCATGCTCTGCAGTGCGGGTAACTTATACCTGCACTCCAGTTAACGCACGGTGAATGTATATGTAGGACACTTTATCAACAGAAAGGTCCCCAAACTATGATACAAGCATTCCAGTTAACGCACTGTGCATGTTTATATGTATACGATTTAACTCTAGCACATTTTCAGCAGAAAGGACCCCAAACTATGATTCAATCAGTATTTGTATAAATAAATAAATAAATACATAAATAGTCGGACATTTTCTTAGCAAATACTAATTTGGTATTGTATTCACAACATAACATTTATTAAATATGTTAATGTTTGATATTATGTGTTTGTTTTATTATGTTTTAGTTGTCATGAATGATAAATAGATTATCAGTTTAAGTTAATACATGTTTCGCTTTATTTCTTGAAGAACAAAGAGTTAAAATCGATTACGTATTGCTTGTCTGTTGTTTTATTTAGAATAGGAGAAAACCACTTTCAGTCGTTGGAATTCCCTAAAATTATTCACTGTAAAAGTTTATATTTCCGAATGTTCTGAAACAGCATTGACTTGTGGCAGGAAAAAGAACAAAATGAAGAAGGCATTTGAGTGAGTTAAAGTTTTGTTTGCTTTAGGGTCGAAATTCATGCTTTTAAAAAATACCTTTGAAGCACTTTCTTTTATCATTCCAAGCGCGAACGGGTTCATAAATAACCACCAACAGTCTCTAAGTTACCAGAATAGTTTCCGTACATACGAAAGACCGTTAGGGACATTTCAACTATGAATTCCCGATTTCATCTTCATGAATTCCCGATTTTAACTTCACGAATTCACAATTTCAACTTCATGAAGTTGAAATCATGCATTCGTGAAGTTGAAATTGGTAATTCATGAAGCTAAAATCGTGAATTAAATTCCGTATGTTGAAAACGGGAATTCACGATTTTTAAAATTGTGAATTCCCGTTGATGGTATTAGGGAAATTATGAAGTTGTAATGGCCCTAACGGTGCTTTCGTACGTACGTGAAATATTCCCGCTTCCCTGTGTTGGTAGTACTAAAGTACAATAATGTAAATGATGTAAGGTTACAATAACAAAGAAAACCTATATACTTACAAAATCTGTCATCTCTTTACTTGATGATATAGTACATGTACATAATTGTAAATAAATTCAGTAACGTTGGATGAATTATATCAATAACTGAGGATTAAACAAATACTGGGCAAATCAAATGATTGTATTATTTATGATAATTATAATTATCATATGTATTTCCGTTAAGAAAATGCATGGTACAAAGTAGCATACCTGTATTAAAGTTGAAAATGTTAAATATGGTCATCGTGAAATAGTAACTGTTGTCAATGCTAAATGTAGTAAATGTTATATACTATAATAGAAAAAATTTGAAACACGAGCATTAATTTCATCGCCATATTGAAATGTTCTAAAATAGATTCAAGGATGTGGTAAAATGTCTAAGTGACATTCTTGGTACAAACTTGAGAAACTTTATAAATATTATATTTTTTCACGGGTAATAAGATTTTACGGACATTTATTTAAGCGGATTCTCATACAATCATAATAAAACGTTTGAGTATTTTCCTTTGTTTTTGAAAAAAATTTTTCCCTCATTTTAAAAATTTTTTTTTAAGAAAAATATGAAGTGAGGTTTTGTACTTGACAAATAAAGTTTTTGAGGACAAAAAAAACAGACACAGATGTTTGCCGAGACACATTTAAACAGATGCATTGCGGTAAAATATTGGTTAATTTCTACTTGAGTTTTTGCATTTACGAAAACAAAAACGTTTTCTCACTAGTTCAGACTTGAAATAAGTTTCATTTATTTGATGAAAAATCACTTTGTTTCAGGAAGCAAAATATAAAAACAAAACAACTTAAAGACAGCTAAAAGTCACGTCCCCTTCATCTTTAAATTGTGACTTTAAAATGTCTATTTTTTCTGTAAAGATGTGATATATAATTATTTTATTAATTTGTTATTCGTTATTTATTACACAAACTTTTCATGCATGGGTAATAACAATAACTTGCTTGAACCATTGAATGCATCAGATTTTTAATCTAAATCCACAATGGTTCAACTTGAATGTAAACAAATACATTCAAAATAAATTACACTAAATTTTGTTTAACGGTGTATAGGTTTTGTCAAATCGCGATGGACAAGTTGATTACATTATACGATTTAAGTCGACTTTTAAATCAAAGACTATTTGTTTAAGACCCGCTATAAAGCTAAACGATACCTGTGTACATAATAGTTCAGTAGTTAACGTTGGAATTGCTGTAATAAAATGTTATTTTGACAAATTAAACACCATTTATATATTTAAATGCTAGTCTCTTGTCACGCTGTAGGAATTGGGTATGGAAAAGAAACAAGAAATTATAGGAATTGTATTAGAAATAGGAACACGCTGTGATTAAGGAAATATTTATACATCAAGGGACAAAGACAATGTGTGTTTATATCATTAAACCGATGTGACACAAATATAATACCTCTGAAATTATTAACCATGTTTATAAACAAGAAATAAAGAGGAAAAAAATAATTGAAGTGGGGTTATTGTACAAATCTAGAATGAATCGCTGTGAAGAACATAGACTAGAATTAGAAAGTTTCTGTCAGGCACATGGTTCTTTGTGTTGTAGAGATTGCGTAGCTTTGAAACATGGCACATGTGAAAACATTCTACCTCTTGGTGAAGCAGTCGCAGGTAGCAATATAGACAGTGAAGTCACAGATACGATGAAGGTTCTAGAGACGCTAGTGTCGAAATTTGAAGCGACAAGGAATGAAGAAAGAGAGTCTCTTAGGATGGTAGACACTCAGGGAAAAGAGTTGGAGAGAAAAGTGAAAAAGTTTCGACAAAGCGTAGACAAAATGCTTGACAAGTTAGAGATGTCAATGATAATGAAGAAAGATGAATTAACCGGTGACGAAGTTAAGGTAATAAAGCAAAGGCTAAGTGTTTGCGAAACGGCTGTAGACAACCTTAAAGATGGTTTGCAGAAAATGAAAGTGATACAGAAAGGGAAAAATGAGAAGAAGTCGTTCATAGCAGTCAATACAGTTAAGGTTCTAAAGAACAGGTATGAAGATATTCTCGAAGAAATCGTTGACGGAAAAGGTAAATTTTCTCTTAATTTCATACCGAACACAGACCTTGTTCAAGCACTTGATAGTTTAGGGTCCATCAATGTTAAATCTACGATACGTCCTGCCGAGATTTCAAAAGACGTAGATAAAGTTGAACCAAGACTTGCAAAAATTGCTGAAATAAATGTGAGGGCACCGTGTGACACGTCTGTTTGCACCATCTCTGGTTGCATTCCTTTCAGCAAAGACAGGCTGGTTATCGCCGATGAAACAAACAGTACTGTTAAAGTTGTCGGTCCTGAAAGAACTGTAGTGTCGTGGATTAAACTTGATTACTCCCCTTGGGATATTGTAGCCATGTCAGGATCAGAGATAGCTGTGAGGTGTAGCTACTCGGAGACGGAGGAAAAGAACAACAAAATATACATTCTATCTGTGAATGAAGAAATTAAGCAAAGCAGATGCATTGAAGTCGACGGACGCCCTAGAGCTATTGCGTATAAAGATCCGAAATTATTCGTTGCTGTGTCTAGTAATGACAAAATTTTAATTCTGGTTATGAATGAAAAGGACGGCAGCGTGTTAAAAACAATCAAACCACGGAAAAATATTCTTAAAGAACCGCAGTACATTGCCATTGCTTCAGAAAGAAAGACCATATTTATATCTGATTTTAGTAAAGGGATTACTGCAATCACTTTTGAAGGTGCGGTTGTTTTTGATCATGCTAAAGGGAACACCTCCGAATATGGCGGGATTACTATAGATGATAATGGAGAAGTGTTTGTGTGTGCAGGAAAGCCGTATGGTATCTATCGGGTTGCTGACGACGGAAGTGGAATGACGTCATTTGTCACGTGGGATTCAGACGACATCGACCCTCAGGCGTTAGTCTATTGTGAACACGATAAAACGTTTGTGGTTACGTCTTGTAATTCGGATAAGGCGTTAGTTTACGCTTATATCTAAGAATGTGTCATATCCTGATAATGATGTCAGGGATAAACAGGATAAAAAGATAACACTGATACACAGAAAAATTATATTTATCAGAAATTACAATATCTAGAGACTTATTTCAAAACAAAGTGATAGATACATAAATTAACATAACAATTTAAAACAATATGTACGCGTGTTTTATGCCACGTGCATCAAAACCAAATATTCCTCGTCTAGTATTGCACGAGAGAAAGGGTTTCCTACAATTGTATGTTTCCTTGTCGAAAACATCAATAACAACTGAATCTAAAGGATAATTATTAAAACGCATTTATTTTTATTTAATATGATCAAATAAACACATGTTTTGTTGTTAAGTGTGAAAGTATTATCAAGTATGGGTGGGGAGAAATTGTATACGAACATACTTTAATTGTTTCAAGCTGACATCTGTACACTTATGAGATAATTTTCCTTTATTGTTAAGTAGCGAGTAATAACCTAAATCAAATTAACAAATGCCTTTTGGTTTTCTTTTTCATTACAGTATTTTTAATATTACTGTTTCCTTAAATATGATTTGTTTTTAATTTTGTCTACTTTTTGTTTGTTCCAACCTATAACAGATAAAACTAAAAATGAGAGAAATAGTTGCTTTGAACTACCTGACTACCAACACCGTTTAAACCTGTACCAGAACTTTTTTAAAAAGCATTGTTTGTAAAATAAAAGACCAAAAATTCGTTTGTTGAAAAACAAATCCTAAATTATCTTTAATCGTAAAAGAAAATTTTAATATAAAATAAACAATTACATTTATACATCATTACATGTACCTTTAATATATATATAATTATATATTTATAATTAGAATACAATACAGGCGCAGATGCAGCGTAAGTAAAAACCACTTATAAATGAAACAAAGTCGTTTAACGACCAACTTAAAAGCCGTCCGGTTAGCTCAAATAGTAGAGTATTAGACTGTGAATAGGAGGTTCGAGTCACAGCGCAGGTCGTTTGTTGTGATTCTACGGTCATTCGCACCGCACCTATATGCGTTGGCAAGTACAGAAATAAGTTATCAGCTCCTTGCGAAAGCGAAGGAAAATAGTACTTGTAAACGGCTAGAAAGTTTACCCAGGAATGATGCGTTGGCTGAACTGTGCTCTGGTAAATGTAATGTGGTTCCCTGTGGTGATCCGGAGGGTAAACTACGGCGACCACCATCACTGCAAATGATCAACTTAAGTCCCCACTAAATTCTTCAATTACCGGTGCACGTAACCCTATTTTTAATTACTTTTCTAATCAGGTTTTATAAAGCTGCGGAATTAACAACAACTTAACCGACTTCAGCCATTTTGTTATTTGAATGGCTCTGTCACTTGTGGTATGAGATTTGACGTTATACAATTCATATCAAACTAACCAACCTACACAAATGAATATATAGCTAACACACAAATGAATAATTCACATCTCCTCATGGCGTTATTAAACGTTCATGACGTCATCATAAAGTCAGACATAAAATGTTAATATGATTCAAATGACACACAGCTATTTTTTTCTAAACATAGAGAAGTGTCCCTGAATAAGAAAAGTTCAGTTTTAGTCGATGATATATTTGCCATCCAAATTTCAACTAAAATTTGTTACGTTTTCTTCTCCAGCAGACGACAACTATAACAATTATGATGACGATGACAACGAACGCTCCGACGCCGGCTCCGATCGCTATAGGTTTTATATCTGGGTCTGCCTTTACTGAAAAATATATTATATACATGAGTATGTTTATATAAACAATTTAACACATGTTTCTCTTCCTTTATTATTATCTGAGAATTTTCAATTAAAGACAACGATTTGGGTTTACGGAACGGTGATGACATCATATAACCAAATTAATTCGTCTACAGTTACTTGAATAACATATGCGTAAGTACCTGTTGTACATAACATCTACATTTTTGACATAAACATATATTTAAATTAATGTCTTCTAGTCCATGGTATTTACATTAACTGTACTGATTTTAGCCATTTTGACATTTGAATGGCTAAGCCATTTGTAGAAAATGCTTATTGTTTTACGAAAGTCATTATCTCAGGAAAATAAGTTTAAAGCAGCCTTTAATTGTTTCCTTAATTGTAACAGCATTGTATCAAAAAAACCGTGTGGTAAAACACTTCAAGGCGTGCTTTAATAAATGTGTCATATTGTCGTTTTTCGCGACAAGGAAGATATAAACATTATCTAATATTCAATACAACGAGTATATATAATCTTTAAAAGCAGGCAAAGTGATTAATTTTCATTCTGTAAATTATAATTATAGTCGATCAGATACATGCTGCATTATTTAAATGCCCATATATTGATTTTTTAAAAAGGAAAAATACAGCATGCAAAAGTTATATCAAATTTAATGCATACCATTACATGCATAACTTAAGCATTTCGAAGAAACAGAGACTGCTGTACTTTTCAATAACGCAATAACGAACAGAGTATATAATTTATTATGTGACATTAAAAAAGAATCTATATATCATCTAAATTAGATTTGGTGACATACATTGTAAGGACAGCATATAAGTTTCCTGCTAGATTTAATTCCTTATGAAAGTTGTGTAAAACTCACAGTGGTAAGTTTAACTTTATATAAAGTGTTAAAGATAAGATCATTTCGAACTGGTAGGAGAAACATGGCAGTAATAATCAAAGGACACACGAGTATTTAACCGGACAACATGGGTAGTAAAACATCAATACATAGTTATATGTGTGTTTATATGATGGTTTTCATTTGTGGAAGTCAATCAGAAAATTACTCTACCGCCGAAAATAAATGTAAGGAGCGTAATGGATTAGCGTCATATAAACACTTTATGAATTCCTCGGGACGCCGTTGGGATCAAAACAAATCTTTACAGAAAATCCAATCAGCGTGGATATCTGGGAATGTTATATTTCCAGATAAATTTGTAAAATGGTACGGATGCTTTGGCAGTGCAAAAACAGGCTTGCAAAAGGTCAGTCTATCAAACTATGACATTTATGAATGTTTACAGAAATGTTCAAAAGCATATACTAATTTCATCGGTATAACAGATAACTTATGTTATTGTATTTCACATAACGATTTATATCATCGTTTAGAACTGACAAGCGACTCTGAATGTAAACAAGTTTTGTTTTCACCAAATGTTAGTCATAGAAAGGCTTTTTCAAGCAAAATAGATGTATATGAAGACATTGCCATTGATCATTTCGCTTGGAAGCCGTCTTCAAATAAAAGAATCGGTCAATGTGTTTATTATCAGGCTGATGGGAAAGAAGAAGGTTACGTTACTGGATCATGCAACTCAAAAGAAACTGGATTCATGTGTACTAATACCGCTGGTGGTCAATTCAATGCAAACTGTAGTGATAATCATTTATGGTACTTTGATAGCCGACACTTTTGTTATTATTTAGGACCCTCTACGTGGATATCATCCTTTAAAAGCTGTAAAAATTATGTATCAAATCTTCCAGGCTTATTACATAGGGATCTAAGACACCGAATAAACCATAAGTCAATGGGAAATATAACATTTTGGACAGGCCTGTTTCGAACTTTCAAGCTAAATGATATTTTGGATAAGGATGGTGTAAATAGAAATACTATTTGTCTGTCAATAATAAATGTCAACAACACTTTAGTGTTCGAACCTGCAGAATGTTCCTCTGATAAGGACTACATCTGTGAAGATGATGTTTCCAATAATGAGAAGCAAGCGTCATACAAAACCAGTGACACGACGCCAATATTGTCCTCAGAAAATACCAATGACAACATACACAGCACCTCGAGCCCGGGTATATCTGATAATCGTGACTACATAGCAATAATCATTGTTTTAATTATTGTTTTTACACTTTTTATTATAATTTGTTTAATATTTCGCGAGAAAATAAAAAAACATTGATGTACATGTGAGGCTGAAACAAGATCTAAAGATATTCAGGAAACAACTTCCGCCAACACTCAGTTTCGTCGATCTGCTGAAAATGTAAATATCGCACACAGCAATAAATCCACTCATTCGGAATCAGAATATGCGTTGCCTAGCGACGACGTGCCGACGAGTGAAGCTGTAGAATCAGAAATATGATAGGGTGAACGCAAGTGTGAGCAAAAAACAAGTGAGAGACATTACTTTTACCTGAAATGATGCAAATGGATATGGCGTTCATACAGAAATAATACAAGAACATGATAATGACGACTATGATCATTTTGAAGCACATTCAAGTAAACATATAAAGGAATAAACGGGTGGGATTTACAACACTATGACGGAGGACAATGACACTTAAAATGAATTAAAATTTAAAAAATCAGTAAATATTGAACACTCTTCCGCATGCATAGAGAACAGTTGTACAACTTACGACAAAGTAGATTAGATGCCATTATAAGTCAAAAAAAGTTTCGACCAATAAAAGCATACGTTAAGGATCTGCAGATAATGCAGATGTTGAAAAACCGTCAACATGCATCGAGAAAAGTTGTACAACTTGAATAAGTTGCCATCACACGTCTGAAGAATTCATAATTAAAATATTATTAAAACTTATGGATATCGTCGTCATTTTCATTCTAAAGGAATTGTAACTACTAGATTTACTTTGTTTGCGCGAATACTTTGCAACAATCAGACTCTTCATTACAAGAAGGACCTTTGGTTTTCCAATCCCCATTTTAGCTCGTTGATTATTTCTATTTATTAATAATTTATATGTTATATATGTCAACTATATGTCTTTATTTTTACATCTTATGTCCTCACTCATATATGCAGAACTAAGCTTTCGGTAGTAATCGTTTTATTTTAATTGATTATGTGTGTTTTAATACTAATGCCTCCTTCTTATTTATAAAATTTATACAATAAGTAAAAATACTTGTAATACACCAGACGACATAGGCTTAGATGGTTCGAATATATGTGTTGGTTTCATTTAAGTTGGAACTGGGGCATGCCCCCTAAAATAATTATTTTCGGATTCGTTTTGGCGAATATTTAGGATAATAAACATGTTCAGGTAATTGTGATACATTGCAAGTATACAGATGAATATAGAGGATATTTGTTTGTTTTGTTCACTGAGTGAACACCAGATGCAATATTTTCACGAGTGGCGTAGCAACTCGTGAAAATAGAATAGCTGGTGTTCACGAATGAAATATATTTCAATCTAATATGTAAAAGAAATAAATTTTCTGTTTATTTCATGCTTTTTAAGTGATTTTAAGTATTACTTTACTGCTTTTGCCGCGTATCGTCGCGCATTCTCCTTTGTGACGTCATCACATCATGACGTCACATCATCAATTTTGAAATGTAGTTGTGTTTAATTTCTCTAATTTTGTTACATGATGTATGATAACATCGACTTTCTTTTTCCTAAAGAAGCAAAATTTACGTACGACGGCATTTTTTCTGCCTGTTATTACATTTAGTTAGGCCTACGATTTTTTTTCATCCGTACTGTATTCAGAAACTGTATAGTCCGGCTACAGTGAAAATTATATTTTATAAATTTCACTAGTGGTTTATCAGAATTTATTTTATGCTTTTCAGTGGATTACTGATTTATCCGTGAAAATTATATTTGGTAATTTCACAGTGAAAATTATCAAAATATAATTTCACTTTTTTCAATGACGAAACTACTTTTTTAAGATTTTCCCCATGTGGTACCTTAATTTTATTTTTGCTGACAATTCAGACAATGTCAGGCTGTTTAAAGAAAAAGGAAAGCTGAAATTGATAAATACCTTAAACGTAAAAAGTAATAAAAAGAAGAAAACTTACTTCTATTCATTCAAATTCCAATCACCAAATTTCGTCTCTAAATTTTTTGTTTCATTTTTACAGTCTGAAAAATACATTCCTTCCACATGCAAACTGCTCTTGATGACATTTGGGCATATTAAAGTATCCTACGAGTAATAACTGCCGTATGCTTTATGAAAAATTGAAAAGCAATGACAGCTACAGCTCGTAGAACAAGTAAACCAACCCAGCGTTCCGAGCAAGTTCCAAGTCTTCCATTTTCATAGCTGCTTTTTTCATGTTTTCACATCTGTCAACACTTAATTTTTGTCTGTTTCAATCCCCAAATATGTTTTCTTTCTTTTAAAAGGGTGTATGACTAACAATTCCAAATGATATCCCTCTGAATCAAACACAAATTATTTTCCTCCCGTGAAATACACAACTTTAAAAAATGCCTGCCGCTTACATTTAACAAAGCCAGGTCTAATATAAATTCGCAGTAGGTAACAGAAATATGGATGGATGGTTGGACTTTTCTCCTTCACGAATTGTTTGTTTTTATTATTAAAACAAGCGATCATTCATATTTTTTAAACAAAATAAATAATATCACTGTCATTTAATGTTGATTGTCGGACTTATTTTTCCGCTCAAGACTTCTTGTTTTTAATGAGAAATTCGCACGAAATGGGGCTCTCAATGGGGAAACAGATTTTAATATTTATGTTAATATTATGGAAATTTCGTTTAAACTTGTTTTTTAGCATAAAATAAAAAGAAAATTTGTTTGTTTGTTGTGTAAGATGTAATTTTATTTCATCTCGTGAACTTTAAAAACAGTATTCTCACTCGTGGCTACGCCACTCGTGAGAATACTGTTTTTAAAGCCCACTCGATGAAATAAAATTTCATCTTACACACAAACAAACAAA